ATTGCCCTCAATTAGATGACCTAATCAGAGTCTACCTGACACAAGCTCTCCTAAGAATGCATAACGCACATGTGTGGCCGCTATACACACAAGCACATGTAAGACTGTTTATGTCTGGAGTTTACTTATTAAATAATCTTTACATGTGAGTGAGTGTGTGTGTGTGTGGAGTGGATTATATTTCTTGTGTACATTTATATTGTAAATATATTTGCAGTCTTGGCCCACTCAAACTATAACACTGGAACTATTAAATGACAGTGATAGCTGTTGACTGGAGGAATTTCTATATATAATAAATAACTATCCACAGCTTAACAAGGTAATGTATGTGTAAATGTACATACTTACATGCCATCAAAATATTATTATTATTATTATTATTATCAAAGAAATAGAATATGAATGTGAAAACCTTTAAAAGCTTCATACATGTAGATGTATGCACACAGAAGAGGTTAATTGATATAACAATCAAAATAATGACAACAGTAATAAAGAAAATGATAATAATAATAATAATAATAATTTAAATATAAAATTCCTCTAGTAGTTGCATTACTAGTACAGTCAATGCATTATTAATTATAGTAAATGTAATATCGACTATCAGTGGTGGATTCAATCATGGTCTTCATATATGGATACACACTTCATAGATAATATCATTACAACTTGTAATACTTTCCTAACAATTTAATCCAGGTATTCTAATATCATTAATGGTTGGTAGTGTGCAACCAATTATGCTAAAAGGACAACATGGTAATGAAGTTTGAGCTGTTTATGTTTATTGCTGGAAAGTGTTTTATTATCTAGCTATACCCACTATAGCCTATAGTGCCCGCTAGTCAAATCAATTGTTGTTTATTTATAAACTAATATTTATAATCAACAAACAAACAAAATGGAAAACAATAGAATATCGCATTGTGTGCTAGATACAAGTGTTCAAATGTATCACAATGGACAATTTGAAATTTGCTATTAATAGATAAAGTTCTAAAAATAGTAACAGCATTGCATCACATGCTATATTTACCTACTGTACATTGTATTACAACACTAAATGCAGTGCTTGCCTAGTAGCTAGCACAATGCCATAATAAGAAGATAATTCTTATGGTAATACATCAAGCACATGCTTCCTGTATTTATCTAATTCATATTACACAATAATGATGTCATCATTAATTAGCATTTATCATAGTCCAAACTGAATCTAAATTAAAGCAACAACAAAGGTGCTCTCTCTAACTAAAAATGTACATGCATGCTTAGAATCAGCTTAAACATCCTATAAAGCATAAGGACATTGGAATGTGCAGATATCAGAAAAAAGCCAAAATTAAGGACTGAATCTTGTAACATGCATGTAAGTAATCAGAATCAGTTCAAACTTTAATATGTCTACACGTACATGCAAACATACATGTACACGTACATGTATCAGAAAAAAAGCCAAAATTAAGGACTGAATCACGGACTTGAGTACTGTAAAACTACAAATTTTAGCGTGCTACTTATTTTAGCGATATTAGCGAAGAGCCTAAACACGCTAAATTTAATATTCGCTAATAAAAACACCCGGTCACGTGATCACAAAATGTCGCTGATACCATAGATACAGTATCTATGCGATACTATACTAGTAGATGGGTCTCTTCTGCTCGGTCGGCAACACTACCAGAGGAAGGAGAACCCAGTGGAACGACAGCAGCAGCTAACAGAAAAGTGGGAAAGGTTTGATGATACGCCAAATTTAATAGTCGCTAATTTGACATTTAAGCATAAACGCTAAATAAAATAGCCGCTAACATTAATAGGTTTACAGTAATCAGAATCAGCTTAAACTTTAATACATCATCTACATCTACATGTACATGTACATGTAGATGTACATGTACGTAGATGTATCAGAAAAATGTCAAGATATTGAAGATAAGGGCTAAATCTCATAACTTAATGAATCAGAATCTGCTCAGACTTTAATACGTCTATACATGCATGCACACGTACATGTACATCAATATGTCACTGCTATGTACATGTACATGTACAAGACAATATGTATATTATGTATCTGTACATGTAAATGCGACCCTTCCCTTCCTCTCCAGTCTTTCCTGATTACCATAGCGACAGGAAATTAAGTCTAAAGTCCTACTCACTTCCCCCTCTCCCAATAAGTAATCCAATTATCACATACCGTAATTTGCCTTTTTTTCGTACAAAAATTTTTCGTTTCAGAAAAATTCAAGTGGAAATATTTTCGTCTTCTCATAGTGTACGAAAATTTTTACAGTCTGAAAATTTAGCTTCTCTTGCATATACCTTGTCCTTTACCTACTGGTAACAAGGCCGCTATAGTAGTGTTTATAATTCTTGAGATAAGAGGTTCTTGACCTGGCTGTTCCCCCCGACATTACTAGTATACGGATAGTACTGGAGATGCAGCAATGACCAATTTACGGATAATAAACGGAAACATTAAATGGCTACTTTTGTCACATGGTGGACCGTTTTATTTTATAACTCAGTAGTGAAGCAACTGATGAA